TTCTAACATTTTGTTGTAGGTGGCTAAAGCGTCTACTTTTCCTGTCAACTGTTTAATTTGCTCGCTAGTGTGTACGTTTTGATTCAGGAACTCTTTGTTTGTTTGAGCTTGAGTAGCTATGAACTTTTCCATCATCAATTCGAGGTTCGATTTCCTAGGTGCATTTTGAGCAGCTGGTTTCTGATATCCTGGCGGAGCAGTAGGCATTTGCAATGCATTTTCGCTTTTGTAAGAAAAGTTTGGATGATTTCGCCAACCTGGATTGTAGGTGTTTGCGTAGGGATTTCCTTGAGCATAATTTACCTGGTCTGATGGGATTCCGGCTAGCAATGGGCATTCGGGTGCATTATGAGTGGTGCTTCCGCATAACTCGCAATTTGGAGTTACTGCAGCGACAGTTGCAGTGGGGTTAACGGTCAGACTATCGATTTTCTGTGCTGGAGCATTTACTTTAGCATTGAACTTTTCAAGGCTGCTGATTTCGTACATCCCACCTTTCGCTGTGGTTTTCTCAGTTGGAGTGCGTTCGCCTCCCCATTGGCAATGGTTTTGTGACATGTTTTCTATTAATTGATAGGCTTCATCGTATGGCTTATCCATAAGTGCACCGCCCGCGGCAGCGTCTATTGTTAATCTAGTATTGTATAGAAGCCCATTATAGAAAGTATGGATTGTCACCCAGTCTTCTAGACCGTGGTGAGGATATGTTCTCATCATATCTTTGAATCGTTCCCATGCTTCGTAAAGAGATTCAGTATCTTTCTGTCGAAATCCGTTGATTTGAGCTCTAAGCATAGCAGTTTTGCTTGGCGGAAAATATCTCGCTAAGAAGACGTTTTTCAATTGCTCCCACGTCGTAACGGAGTTGGATGGTAACGATTGTAACCATGTCCACGCTCTGTCTCTAAGAGAGAATGGGAAAAGACGAAGTCTTATCGCGTCTGGAGTTACTCCATTTGCTTTCACTGTGTCTGCGTATTGTACAAACTTCGTTAGATGTTCGTTCGGATCCTCAGTTGCGTTTCCTGAGAATTGGTTTTGTTGTACAGCCGACAGCAATGATGGTTTCAACTCAAAATCATTTCGAGTAATAGCTGGGGCAGTAATGCTACTTCTAGGCTCCATCTGAGATGGTGTAGCGTATGCCTTCAGCGGTTTGTTTGGAGGTCCTTCAGCCATCTCTGGTTCTTCTTCTTCTGGTTTGGGAATGGGAGTGAGAGGTTCGGGAGTGTTATGTTTGAGTTGGTACTCAATGATTCTACTTCTTAAATGTAAGAAGCGTTCTAGTTCTGCGACTGAAGGTTTTACGATATCGTCTTGCGGGCGATTTCTTGGCATACAATCGATAGAACTAGTAAAGGAAAAATGAAAATTGTTAACCTAGTCTATACGGCGTAACGGAAGGTTACACTATTGACTAAACGGGTCCCCGGCAACGGCGCCAAAAACTTGATCGCGACTTTCTATGTCTAATACAACCTAACTGCAAGTGCACAGTCTATCGCGTAGTAATAATAGATATCGATCCCACAGGGACTCGTAATCAAACTAGTGTTCTCGGGAGTTACTATGTTTAGCTAGGTAGAATATGTTTAAGGGAATAAGATTGTCACTAAAAGGGAACTAAGAATACTATTTAGATTATAATTAATTGAATCGATACGTAGTAATTGTGTTCTTCAGGGATTTGATAAGTTACTGGTGTATGAAATAATTTTCAAAGTTTATTTAAGCAGAAAATGGAGATTTGAAGACTCTCGCCTCACGATGGTTATTGACGCTAATCATAATCCTAAGGGCCAAACGTACACTTTCGTATCCCGTTCGGGGTTAAAACTATTTTTTGGAAATCTCTAAGTTCTAATTCATTTTAAAGTGCTTTCGCTGTTATTAAAACAAATGCCTAGTGTTTACTATCTGACCTTACCGCAGCTTTCGCTTGTTGGTTCGTATCTTAATTAATTTCCCACTTTCGTGGCAAAACTACTTTTAAATAAATTCTCGCTTTCGCGACGAAGTTTATTCAGTGAATCAATTTTAAACACTCAGACCATAGATTACTTTTCTGAAAAGAAAGTTTTTCAACCAGTTGTTATCAAATCCCATTCGAATTATTACTACATATCGATTACCTAAGTTTAGCTAGACATGGATTTGGGAAAGATAAAATATAAATAAAAACAATAAATAATGATTTGCGTTATAATAAAAACTGGAATCGATCAAAATGAAAACCTGTAAATATTCCAATTGGCCTTTGGGCAGATCCTCCACAGATGTTGGCAGGATTCTGATCTCTAATGCCAAATTGATCGTACAGTACAAGTAGGAATTATAGAAGAATGTAAAAGGAAATACAGGAAAGGTAAAGAGAAACAAATAAGAATAAAACTGGAAAATAATGTTCTGGAAAGTAAATTCGGCAGCACTTCGTGGGATGAATGCAGCACCCTTTCTGAAGTCCCCTGCTTCCCTTTTTATAGAAGTGGAATCCCAACGGTTATCTCTGAAGATGATGGACCTTGAGGCAGATAATTTAGGGAGTAGTGGTCCACTCTGTGGGAATTGGAACTGATCCTTTGACGTGAAATCTGAGTGGGGCGTTTTTGCCTGCATGACGGTCGTCACAAGGTGTGACGGTCGTCATGAAGCTGTGACGGTCGTCACATCAGCAAAAACAGCTTGCTGCGCTTTTCATTGTGTTTTCACTCCTTTTTCGTCAATATTTCATCTGAGATTGCTTCTTTTCTTCATGTTGCCTTGTTTAGACGTGCTCGTTGAATACCTGCAAAACATCAGACAAATACACGGAAATAACCCGAAATCAGATCGAAAACGGTTAGATTTTAGTTGAATTATGCATGAAAATATCTATATGATTTCGTGTTATCAGCGATGCTCTATCGAGTCTCTTTTCTTTTCTTTTGCCCCTGTGGCCAGCCTTATAGATTAACACCCTTTTAAATAGACAACAAGCATGGATCCCATTGAGTACAACGAACGTGAGGGGTGCTCACACCTTCCCCTCGCGTAACCGACTCCCGAACCCAAGATTTGCTTGCAATGACCTGTCTTCTCCATTTTTCGTAGGTTTTCTCTGATCATTTCCTTTCCCTCTTTTTGGGATAAATAATGAACGGTGGCGAATCTTCTGTCCTTGCCGGCCCCTCTTCGCAGCGATGCGACAGTGAGTACTGCGACTCAGATCCTAAGGCTAGGAAAAGGTAACAGGAAATTAGTTGTTAGTGAGCTCGCCAAGACATCGCATCTTGTGCCTACGTATTCTCAACGAGAAATCAAAGTGTTCGTAGTTCCCTTCCAAGAAGGTGAGAAACTTTTTGATTGTGTTCAAGATTCCAGGGGGAAGTAAGTATTCATAGGGAAGTACTTACGTGGAGTGCAGAGACACCGATCCTAAGGCTAGGATAAAGGTAAAAAGGTGAATGTCCACGGCGGAACGCTAAGTATGAGTACGACGGCTCAGGGCCTAAGGCTAGGGTCAGGGTTTAAGATTAAAAGAGGAAATGACATGGCAGTCAATATGGGGTACCTTTCCTTCGGAATATACAGTTTAGTAACAGATAAATTAAAGTGAAAACTTCAAAATGATACATAATAGATAACAGTATGCAGATATATAAATCAAGCACTCAGAGTAAGGTGTCGCAGGTTAAGTTCAAATGAAATATCGAGATAGTTAATCTCAGGTTAATGAATTTGATTAATTTAATAAATAAATCTAAATTAAAATTTTGTAAAATAACAAGAATACTAAATACTTTAAATTTGTTTTTTATTATTATTTGTGAATTAAAGTGAAATTTAAATTAATAAAAATTAGAGGAGGTTTGAATAAATTAGTATTAAAAATTCTAAATTTAGAAATTCTAGATAATTGAAAATCTAAAAAACTAGATTTTTTTTAAATTATTTTTATTATAATTTAAAGTTAATGGAAATTGAATGAGGGTTTTAAACTAAGAAAAATCCTAAAAATCTAGATTATTAAAATTATGAAATTAATTAAAAATTAAATCCAAATTAATTAAATTATTTCTTTTTATTATTATTTGTATTTTTTTATTTTTCTTTTAAATTACCAAAAAAAAATTGAATTAACTTAAAACTAAATTATTTTTAAGAAAGAGAAAACCTCTAGTTCTATTTTAATTAAAATTAATTATTATTATTTTTGTTATATATATATATATATATATATATATATATATATATATATATATATATATATATATATATATATATATATATATATATATATATATATATATATATATATTTTTTTTTTAATTTTTTGTTTATATATTATTATTGTTTTTGGTTTTTTAATAATTAAATAAAATTTGGACCCATCCCACCAAACAAAAAAAACAAAAAGGAAAATGAAAAAAAAAACAAAAATAAAATAAAATAAAAAAAAATATATATATATATATATATATATATATATATATATATATATATATATATATATATATATATATATATATATATATATATATATATATATATATATATATATATATATATATATATATATATATATATATATATATATATATATATATATATATATATATATATATATATATATATATATATATATATATATATATATATATATATATATATATATATATATATAAAACAAAACCAAAAAGAATATGAACCGGAAGTCTTGCAAAAAGTCTTCCAGTAAACAAACTAAAAAAAATGTGAACCGGAAGTCTTACAAAAAGTTTTTCGATGAACAAACGAAAAAAAATGTGAACCAGAAGACTTGCAAAAAGACTTCCGATGAACAAACGAAAAAAAATATAATTTGCAAAAAGACTTCTGGTGAACAAACGAAAAAAAATATGAACCGGAAGACATAATTAAAGTCTTCCGGTAAACAAACGAAAAAAAAAATATAATTATTTGTACGAGGATATTTTGGTCTAAAAAATTTTAGTGTAAAGTTATGGATATAATTGCAGGGAATGGGGTAAAATTTCAATCTCCTTTCCTCTTCTCTGCAGCGCCCCACCCTTTCTTCTTCTTCCTCCATCCGTTTTCTTCTTCTTTCTCCTTTTCTCCCTCCGTTCTTCTTCTTTCTCCCTTTTCTCTCTCCGCGCTTTTCTCTTTTCTTTCTTCCCTTCTGTTTCGCGTTTTTCTTCTTCTTTTTCTTTCAAAAACAACATGAAGAACGCACACCAAATCAAAGCAGTCGTACATTATTATTAAGAAAAAACTTACGCGTGATGGTTTTTTTTTCAGGATTCCGTTTGAGTCTGGCGCGATTTCAGCAAGGAAAAGGGTTTTTGAAGATGGCTTCGCGATTCCGGCGACGTCGAAAGCACAAAGGTAAGTTTCAATTTCTTTTTTTCTTTGCCGTCTTGTTGCGATTTTCTGTCTGTGTGCTCTTAGGGTTTCGTCCCCGTATTGTGTTTTGTGAACCCGATCCCTTTATAGGTTCAAAGTTGAACATGATTTTATGTGAATTAACTATTGCAGATTTGTATTGCAAGTACTTTCCATTTTTAGTTGAAAAATGTTTGGTCTTGATTTGGAAAGAAATGGATGCGTCTGATTTTGTTCTGATATGTCTGTGATATGATTTCCATTTTCATTTCTGTTATTGCTGATGATGGTGATAACTATCTGTTGAAGCACAATTCAAACTTTCCAAACCTTCATTAATTGTGTTTTATTTATGTCTGAAATAGTTGTCGGTTCCTTCAAGTTTTAGAAATACTCTTTATTGTTTTTGATTCAAAGATTTTCATTAATTGAACAGGTTTACTAGGGAATTAAAACCCACGACAATCACGGTGTTTTATGTGGGCTTCTTGGAAATGTTAAAGATTTGGCAAATGAGATTTAAAGGAAAAAGTGTCTCTTGGATGCGTGTGGAGGACGGGACTTGGATAAAACCGGTAGCAGGGCTAGAGTTGAGCTACTTGCACTTGTATGTAACAATGGCACATAATAGCCAGTGGAGGTTGTACCAAGTGGATGGAAGATGTACGTACGAACTCGCACTTCATAAACTTGACATTCCAATTTGCATAAGAATAGCATGTGATAACTACTGCGTGTCTCACTCCAAAGCTATTTATCCTAGCTTATATGTTGACTTACTTGTTTAGAGAATAACTAACAAGCCCCCCCTGTGTAGTTTAAATCAACCAAAATCCAAAATACCAATCTAGCACAAGTGATCTTGGTGTAACCGATTACTGGCAATATGAATCAAGGCTCAATTCCTTTTTAATGAAAAGAAAACTTGTAACAAAATTGTAATTATAAATTTGTGTCTTCAATTTTATTTCGCAGCTTTGAACTTAGACTTTGGAGTTTAAAATAATGAACCACTTTTTTGTCTCTTGTGAAGAACATGATTTTTCGGTCATTCATGGAACTGCTGAAGTTTGAAATCTAAATTTGCAAACTTTGAAATTACCATAAGACATGGCCTAAAAACATTTTGAAAAACGACTTAAAATCAAATGGAAATCCATTGATCAATATTTGCACTTTGGTAGCCTCTTTGAATTTCACGGATTCAACTATAATCACAATCTAGGATCTTATATTTAAAGCAATAATGAACTCTTGAATTTTAGAATGTTAATTTGTAATTCTTGGAAGTTGAAACTTCATGAACCTTGAAACAACTTGAACTCTTGAATGTCTTCGAATTTTATCCCCTTGGATTTCTTTGAAGCTTAATCTCGCAGATTGTGAATCATTTTGAATTTTGAAGAATGGAAAGGCTATCTAAGTTTCTTGTACACTTGAATTTCAAATCGAAGTCAGAACATAATGGAATCTTGTAAACTTTGTATAAAACATGAATTGAACTTTAGGTCTTGGAATTCAATCTTGTGAATGTTCTTGGATCTTAAAATCATGACTTGATTTCGAATTTGGATTTTGAACCGCTATTTTAAAGATATAGAATTCTTTCCATTTGAATCATATCATGACTTGAATCTTGTAGTCAAAAGTGGATCAATTTGAATTTTCTAAGGGATATAATCATGAATTTTCATCTTAAGATCTCTTTGTTAAAGTCTAATTCAAAGATGCTTATCCAAACTTCACTTCTTTAGAATACACTGACCTTCAACGAAATATCCAATTCCTTAAAATTCCAATTACCATCCTCGAAACCCAAAAACAGAAAACCTTGATCTTCTTTAGGGAACCCTCTGAGAAATATTGAGGAGAAATGACCATGATGTCTTCATGACCTTCAAACCTTTTGCAGCAGTAACCTTATCTTCACAAATGAAAACAACAAAATGGTTAAAATGGTTAGATATGCATGAATGATTGACTTAAGATGATGTGCAAATGACTAATGAATCTAAGGGTTAAATTTGGGGTACGACACAAGAGTTTTAACAAAAACACTTTTTCATTCATAGATCTTTTCAAATTGCAAAGTGGCTCATACAAAATGATTCACTGGCCTTGGGAAAGACCAGGAATTTAAAGAAAACAAAGCTAACAAGCAAATGTACTACTCTAAAGGTAAAAGGATTGAGATTTCCACAGTTTCCCAATTGCACAAAGCTACTCCGCCTCGGATCATCAGGCTGTCAACGTCGCTTTCTTCGTCTTCAGCTATGACGACATTCACCTGCACTCCGCTGCTTGTGAATATTTCCTCCAGGGTCTTCTTCTTCATGACGTTTTCTTCTGGTGCATCTCCTAGAGTTGGTTTGTAACCCAACCCTTGCCTGTCTTTTTTTGCACGAGCGTTGACTTCTATGACCTCCCCCCATCTCAATGGGAGTCCTGTCTTCATTGCAGCCTTTATACTTTGAACGGAAGCAAAAGATGGACCACTTGGTTATTGCCGACTCATCAACCAACACAACGTGGGCAATTTCCAAGGCTTGGAAAGAAGTTTCAAGCGCATCTTCATCAGCTTCTATGTATCTAAAGGAGGACAAGTTGCTCACCATCAGATACTCTTCTCCATGAACTATGACCAATTGGTCATTAACGACAAACTTCATTTTTTGGTGTAGAGTGGATGTGAAAGCACCAGCTGTGTGTATCCATGGTCTTCCTAGTAAACAACTGTAAGCCGGATTGATATTCATTACTTGAAACTTGATTTCAAATATCTGAGGCCCTACCATGATTGGCAAGTCAACTTCTCCTATCACAAATCTTCATGAGCTGTCAAAAGCTTTTACGACTAGAGAGGTAGGCCTCATTTTGGCTCCTTGGTAGGCCAATTTGGCTAAAGTCCTCTTGGGCATTACGTTGAGCATAGACCCTGTATCAACAAGCACTCTGGCGAGTGTGTCCTCTTTACACTTGATGGATACATGCAAGGCACGATTGTGCTTGCGTTTCTCAGCCGTTAGATTATCATCATCAAAGCTTAATGTGTTGCATGCTGTGATATTTGCAACAACTGAGTCAAACTATCCCACGGTAATATCCTTTATTATGTGAGCTCGCGTCAGAATCTTCATCAAGGTCTGACGATACGCAGGGGAGCTTAGCAACAGTGACATGATAAAAAATTTAGATGGCGTTTGGTTGAGTTGATCCACCACTCGGTAATCACTTTGGCGGATTATTCTAAAAAATTCATCCTCGTCATCCTTGAGGACCTCTTTCCCTTTGCCGATGGGTTCTTTAAAAATCACATCTTTTGGAGCGAATTCTTTAGGAACGGTGATAATAGCCTTAGGAACAATGGTTGTTGATTGAGAAACTATAGGATTCACTCAAGGCTGATATACTCGACCACTCTAGGTCATTCTACTTACCCCAATGATGTTGGTGACGTCCCCTTGCTTCCTTCCAGCGTTCATGTCATACCAAGAGTAATTATATTTGGGAGTTATAGCTCTAGGATGAGGACCGGGTCCTTTCCTCGGATCGAACCTGGGTTGGTCCTTTCCAAACATAGGCACAGGATCGTTGCGAAATACCAGCATGACAACTTTGTGTCTAGTTGCGTCGTTGTTGTTATTTCTGAAAACCTCTTTTTGTTGGATTCTCCGAGCATATTGAACACTGGCTCAATTACTGCCACATCCTCCTTCTTCTTTTTGCTACTGATCTGCAGCATTCCCTGATTGAGTAGTGATCGGACATCCTCTTGCACAAGGTTACAACCTTGTGGATTCAGTCTACATCCCTCGCAGTTTTCATGAGAACTTTTGAGTACCCATGCTTGAGCAAGCCTTTTATGCAAATATGCCCATGGTACTTTGACTTCAGAGACAATTGTGATTGTCTTCATTTTAGACTCTTCCCCTTCTTCCGTTATGGCATTTACCCCACCATGATTCGGTAGAGGGTTATCCTTCACGTTTGGGTGGTTGTCCTCGAACGACAATATCTTCTTCTCTATTAATTCTCGGACAATGTGCTGAAGTGCGAAGCAACCTTCTAGATCATTCCCTGCGGTGTTCTCATGAAAAGGACAACACGCATTTGGATTGTAGTAATGGGGTAAAGGATTAGGCAGAACACCTAATTTCCTTGTCCTGACAATCCCTCTCTCTACCAGCATAGGAAACAATTTAGTATAACTCATAGGTATGGGTTGTATCCTTGGCTTCCCACTTCGATAGTTTGACCTAAGAGCCTGAGCTTGAGGTTGTTGTGTTTGTTGATTATTGTACGGTTGCCGACTATATTATTGATACTGATTGGGAGGTGCTTGCTGAGGACCTTGCTGAACTTGTTGATGTCGGAATACCGGTGTCACAGCCGCTACGTACGGCGGTTGCTGATACCGTTGTCACTGACTTCTTTGATTTTGTGCTCTTTTTTCATGTGTCACGATGCTCACTTCCCCTTCTTTCTTTTTATGAAAGTTGCTGGTAGGTTTCTTGGGTGCACCGGTGCTTGAGCTAACAGTTGAATTTGATACTTTGCCACTTTTCAACCCTATAACAACTTTTACTCCCACGACCAAAATTTCAGAGAAATTTGTTGTAATGCTGCTGATCAGTCTTTCATAAAACTCTGGCCTGACTGTATCTATGAACCGGTCGGCTAATTCATTTTCAGTCAGAGGGGGCTCAACTTGAGCAGCTATCCCGCGCCACCTTTGCGTATACTCCTTGAAGGATTCATTATTCTTTTGTGTCATGCTAAGAAGCTGACGACGGTCTGGGGCCAGATCCATGTTGTACTTATACTGTTGGATAAAGGCATCAGACAGCTCCTGAAAATAGTGTATCTTTGCTTGGTCTAAACCCAGATACCATTTGGTAGATGCTCCGTTGAGGCTATCTTGAAAACAGTGTATCAGTAGTTTGTCATTTTCGATGTGCGGAGCCATCCGTTTGCAATACATAATCAAATGAACTTCCAGACAAGTGGACCCCTCATACTTGTCAAATTCTGGCATCTTGAATTTCGGTGGAAACACCAAACCTGACACTAGACACATATCTTTAGCATCTGATCCAAAGACGTTGCTTCCTTCAATGGCCCTCATCCTTTGGCTCATGATGTCCATCTCTACTCTCAACTTCTCGTGTTTTTCATCTTCAATTTCGGAACCATCAGGTACATCAAATATAGGTTGATAGTTGTTGAAGACAGGTTGAGCATGTGTTGGACCTCCCACTTTAGTGAAAAGAGGACCTGTCATTAATGGGACAACTTGTGGTTGAAAATTGAATGGTTGAGGATTGTTGAGCGAAGGCAAAAAAATCCCTGGATATACCGAACGGAAACTCTGTTGTTGAAGCTAGAATAGTAGGAGGATTTACTGCTGATGTAGTGATTTTAGAGACCATAGTAGCCTGTGAATCCATCTTTGCTTTAATTCCTTGGAGAACTTCCATGATGCAGCTGACGTTATCTTTGATTCCTTCAATATCATTGTCAATCTGGTCGATTCTCTAGTCGTGATCGGCCATCTTCCTTTGGGCTCTGACTCGAGTGTTGTATCTATGGGAACTCAGTGTGACTTTTCTCCCTCCTCTCTGACAGAAAAGAACAACATATAAGCTGCACAACCCATGCAAGACTATGAAGATGATATGCAGATGCAAAATCCACCATTCAAGGAAAAAAAACAATCTTGTTTACAAAAAAAACTAGAAATAGACGTAACGACGTGCTTTAAAAGTAGATTTTCATTGATAAGTTGAGA